CATGTCATAAGCCTGACCCTCCCATATTCCAGTCAGAATTGACAAAGCTCCTTGGATGAGACACGGAACGTCTTCGAAGAAACCAAAGTACTCCAGCTGCCTTCATTGGAACCCCTTTGGATTACCATGACCTGGGTGACTGAGAACCTTCATCAGCATTCTGATTTAACTCAAAAGTTTTGTTATTTTAGTTCTTTTTATTCCTTGATTTATTCCAATATTCACAAATCAAATGGTAACCAGCTGTGAAGTCAAATCTCTCTCTCACCTGCTATCCTGCTTACAAAGCATCAGCATGAGCTTGTTAGGTAGTTATCTTCTGTATCATAAATGAGTCAGGATTGAAAATGAATGAGTATCCATGAAAGGAAAGGACAAGAGCAACAACAGCGACAATGCAAGAAACTAGCCCAGTAATGTAGTCTTCCTGTATCAAGTAGAGGTCACCAAGTCAGGGAAGTCAATTAAAAAGATGATTAACATTCATGTGGGAGATGTGATGTCTGTGCGCAGGTGGGGCGGGCTTCACATTGTCTATCACTCTTAAGCACACGCACGCACGCACGCACACACACACACACACACACACACACACACACACACACACACACACACACATATATATCTAATAGGAGCAGTGAATGGTACAGTCCAGCCTGTTGTAACTGGTGTCCTGGGAGGTGGAGATCAGGATGTTAATATGATCCAGCCCAGCTCCTTCATTAGCCTGATGAAGGTAGTAAGAGTCTACAGGGACGGAGAGGCTGTCAGGCTGACTAAACCAACAACCTACAATCTGCCTCAAGGTCCTTGAGCATACATAAGCTAGCCAGTATCCTAGGAGGACCGCTCTGTCATTCATTACACAAACACAAAGATAAACATTAAATTCAACAAGCAGATATTATTTCATATTAAGTGTTTGTCATTACTTTTACAGTACGTGCTTACAGCAATCATTGCAGCTTGCTGCAAGCCTGGTGCAGTGGTTTGTTTTTATTACACCTTTTTTTGTAAATCAAAGACGCACAGTCTGCAGTGTGATGTGACCATAAACTTCAGACTTTACAAGTATTCCTACAACCGTTTTAACACACAAATCACTCATCTCTTGAGCCAATCAGTACGACTCGGTGACAAATGTACGCTCCTGATCGTGACGCCGGATACCGTGCATGACTGAGAACGCAAGGAGGGGAGGTAGATTAAGAGTAAATCAGATGAGAATGGTGGTGATAGGTAGGCCTAATAGACAATAAACATCATTAATTGGAGAGGCACACATGGATGGGTACAGCCAGATGGTGTTTTGTACTCATTTGTCATACGCTGCTGACGGAGAGAGAAAGGAGGGAACAAGAGCTAGAAAGAGAAGAACAAAAACGAAGTGTTTACTGATTGCAAAGTCAGTACACTGCAGCCTAGAACAGACTTCCACTGTTTAAATCAATTCTGCATCATCTTCCCCCCCTGTCTCCCCAGACGGAGTGGTTCTGATGCTGCTGCCATTGTGCACTCTGCCAAGCCGGAAGCATGCTAGTGAGTACAGACACAACACCCCATAGATAGCCAAGCTTGGCATCTATTAAGGTCCATCTGTCTGCCTTTGACAAAAACACTATCCACTTCATCTTGTCTCTCAAAGGTGGTACAAGGCAGAGAGGAGGAACAATAAAAAGAAGATGGGAGGAGGAGACTCAGGGGAACAAGAAAGAGGAGAAGACAAACTAGTGATCCAAACGGTGGAGTGCTCTACCGTACGTCAAATCAACACTTTATTTGTACTAAATAATAAAGGTAAAAAGTGAACTCGAAAAGAAGTATTGAAAAAGATGGAAGTAGATTATGTTGGGGGCACCAGACTCATAGGGCAGGACTGGGCTTTCCACAAATAGAGATGATTGCTCCAGGCCACTGTCTGCCTGAGCTGCTAGCATGCTCACTTTGATCTCAGCAATGACAGGTTCATTCAGGAAGGGGGGGTGCACTCGGCTCCCCATGACCAAAGTGCCCCTGCTCTTTCTGTGAGTGTTCTCCTTTCTAAACCTTTCCAGCTTTTAGACGCTCTATGTGGGAGTCGGCATGAGTGAAAGTGTTGAGAGCAAAAGCTGTCAACTACTCCTGGTAATACAGTTTGGGCGCCTTAAAGCAAACACATCAGTGCTCTGTAATAAATCACAAGCTGAGCTATTAAACATAACCACCATTATCTACCTGACATCCCAACAAGAGCCATTAAGTCTTTATTGAAGATTTCAGCCACAGCTCTAAATCCAAACGCCAGCTTTCCTCTTTATAAGCCACTTGGATCCGCGGCAACCCTTTCTTGTTGACAGACTAATATTTATCATACAGCAAAATTTATGTTTGCCAAACATTTAGACAAAACTTAGCAGAAGATCATTAAAGAACACACAGAGGACTTGATGTGTGTGTGTGTGTGTTTACACAACTCAGCCGCGGCCAGTTCCAATAGAATTCTGGTAGATGAGGATTTCTGTGGTGAAGGTCTTCCATCAATCACAGGACAATCTCTGTCCAAAGGCCAATTATTATTTTGCTCTCCAGCACTTGAAGGGACAAGGGAGAAGAAGTGGAATGGGGTATTGAGGATTTATGCATACGCTGCTGCACTCTAAGTGGAGGTTACCTAAAGTGCAGTGAAGCTCTGCTGCTAGCTCGTTTTGAGGGCCTTAACGAAGGACTCAGGGGAAGAGTGGAACAGTTTAGTAGAGTGAGTGTGTGTGTGTGTGTGTGTGTGTGTGTGTGTGTGTGTGTGTGTGTGTGTGTAGAATTAAATTTTTTGGGGGGTGGGGGGGGTGTATTTTTATGTGTGCGTCTGTGTTAGTATGTGTGTACTGGGGCAGGATCAGCTGAATAAATCCACACTTGAAAGAGCAGCTCAATCAAGCTCTCCCACCCATCTCTCTCTTCCTCCCGCTCTCTCACCTCAAAATGTTTCACAGATCCCAGTTCACGTAGAGTTGAAGAGTTCACACAACCAGTGAGCAAAAGAGCAACACCGGGGATGAAAGGGAATGAGTTTGTTTACACATCTTTTTAATCAAAATGCCAAACTGAAGATGTTTTAACCCACAGTTTGAGTTTTAGTTAAAAAAAAAAAAGATGAGTCTTGGTTTTCAGATATATTTGCAGAAACAACAACAAAAAAACTCCAATTTTGCTTCATCTCTGCAGTTAGGTCCTCTTACAAGAAAAAAAACACCTTTTATATGGAAATGCATTAAGAAGGCACACACACACACACACACCCAATTTGGTTCCTGTGCAGTTTAATAAAGGCAATTTTTGCTGTCAAACATGAATAAAATTACCTTCATTAGAATAAAGTGTACCCAGCTATTCCATACTTTAATATAAATTGGGTTTAGCACGATAAAAGTCATCACTGGCAGATAATAAAACATACGCATATGACATGTATGGATGCACGTTCACGTAACGACAGGAAAAATGTTAATGTGAAGTTAATTCACCAACAAAACGCTGAGGAGTTTTGTCATGCTGACATTAATCATCACTTCCCCTGATATTTCTACTCAGCGTGGTTAAGGTGAGTGAGAGGCAACAGCACGGAGCGCCGAGTCAAAGTAGGCTTTTTTATTCTTATTAACAGATAATATGCACCGAAATATAAATAACCAGTATAAACTGACAATTTGTCTTTGCAGGATAACACTGGGTCATTTAAAAAGAAAAATTTAGTTAAGTCATTATAATTCTTCACAAATAAACAGTCAATTAACTAATATTAGAAGTTACACGTGCAATAAGTTACAACTAAACTGTGTTTTTTTTAGCTAATGTCTGAACCAAGCTGTAGACACCAGGTCAGGAATTAGAGTACGTCCCATGTTCTTGACATCTTCTCAGAATTGGAGGTGAGAAAAACTTTTGTTTTTAAATTTATTTAAGTAGAAGTAAACTTGAGAGAGATGTCTCAAGTGTCTGTCTAACTGCTTTTATGGCTTGAAAAAATAACAGAGCTTCGTTTTTACCCCATCCAGGCGTTCAGGTAATGAACCGGTGCAACGTCTTTGATGTTCTTGTAGGACGCAACATGCACAGAGACTTCTAGAAAAGAGAAGATGCTATTTTTGTGTCACTTTCCTCAGATGAGATTTAGCTGTAAGGAGAGCCGTCACCGACTTGAAAGGGATTTTTCTGTGCGTGTTGGCATGTGTGTGAACAGTGACTCATTCTAAATGACTGTTCAAAACGCAGTTGTGCTTCTAGACATCCCAACGTCCCGAGTTATCGTGTGTTTGTGTTCATGCGCATCATCGATCTCTTTAAGTGCCGAGGATATTTTAAATATTCCTGCAGTGAGAAACCAAAGTGCTTGAAGAAAAAAACAAGTAATATTAAACTAAACAAACATTATTCTGAATGTTGTCCACATTATTGAACTCATTTAGGGACATAGTGAGACAGGTCAGAGCGTTTGAACGGCTTTAGGACCATGGTCGTATCATCTGTTGGACACGGGGTAGCAGCTTTAACCTTGCCTGCTTGGCCTGGTTCCATGTCTATGTACCACTAAAGCCCGGCAGATCATCACCTGATGCCAAACCAGAGGCTTCAGCTGCTCGTTCCACCTGCTCCCTACTGTTAAAGCACGGATACCAACTCCATGCCAACAAAACAATCAGCAGCTCTCACCAGTGACACAGCGTATAAGGAAGTGTGACCAGAGGGGTAGCGGAGATGAAATGTGGCGGTCACAGGAGGTGTGTGAAGCTAGCTCCAGCTTTCCACTCAACTGGAGGTACAGCCAACCTGTTCCCTTCATCTATAAATGGAAGTAAGCAGGATGCTAACAGAGGGGTGAAGGTGGAGTGCCATATGTGGCTCCATTTGAATTTAACGATAAAGCAGCTTCATCTTGTCCGTTTTTTGCAACACTGCTGCTGCCACTGTGTGTGTGTGTGTTATGTGACGTTTACATGAGTGAGTGTGTGTGTGTTTTGTGTACTCACGGCTGGTACAAGGAGCTTCCTGACTTCCTCCACCGCTCTCCTCATCTTGATCTCAGCTCTGTTCTGTGTGTCTTCCACAGTGATTAGGACGTGTAAGTCTTCATTTAGGTGTTCCCAGTTAGGTTTCCCTCTGTTCTGCTCCTCCTGGACAGAAATAGGAAAGAGTGAAAAAGACTGTGAGTGAATGTGACAGCACGGGTGTGCCAGAGCACTAGTGCAGTAACACCGCATATCAGAGAGCGGATGCAGGAGACGAGCATACACAGAGGATGAAGAGGTGCCTTGAAAAGAAGCAGGAGAACAGGACCGACCCATTAGTCGGCTATTTAGCTTTAACTTTGAAAGGACACCCTTCTTTAATAGATCCCTTGCTTCATGAAGACAAAGATGACAGCTAGCCCTGCAGCAATTAATATCAGAGAAAGATGAATGGATGCAGGGATCAGAGAGACAGACGTTTTAACCCACACTGATGTAACTAGTTGGACTGAAATCATAACGCATGTATGTTTTCTGACATAAAGAAGCTGCTGATCAGACACATTTATGTGAACAGTACCTGCAATAGGGTTGTCACTAGGGCTGCAACTAACAATTATTTTCATAATCGATTAATCTGTCGATTATTTTTTCGATTAATCAGTTTGTTATTGTTTAGCTATTTAACCTATACAAGTGATGAATACATTTCAGTTAAGAAAAAGAAAAACATAAGAGAATTGTGCAGTTGACTGCAATCTATTTTATTGCACATGAACACAGTCAGCGGTGTAAAATGAGCTAAACAGTGCAAAATATCAGTCCAGAATAATTTTTTAGCATCAAAATATGAGAGGTAAATTCCATAAAAAATTATGTAGAATCTAGAATAGAGTTTGTAAGTGGTATGCATTGCTGGGGGGTGAGTGTCTTGTTCCCCATGTAGTTGTCCATCGTTGCAAAGATGAAATATTGTAACTTCACAGGAAAGAAACTGCTGTGAGCCGACTCTGAAGCTTTTGAGGTTGTATTAGGGCTGCACAATACATCGCAAATGTCTCATCATTGCGATATCGCCATGGACAATACGCATTTAGCAAAGAACAGGAAAAAAATGCAATGAGTGGTCAGCTCAAATGTTTGCTACACACATTTTATCAATCATTATCCATTTGGCCAATCAGGTGGGTTCTTATAGGTTAGATGCCCGGCCCTTCAGCGAACGGCACTAAGTTTGGGTCACTAGCGTCGTTCTGCTCTTTCTGCTGATTCTGCCTTTCCCAGGATTCACTGATTGCCTTTTCTTGTTCATTTTCTTTTTCCATTTATTCACATCTTTGGATTTCAATTTTTGCTTTTCCCATTTTTCATGACTATTTTTTGTAACTTTTAAATATCTTGTTCTTGAGTTAAGTATTTGTTTATTTATTGCAAGTCCTATCGTCATCATACTATTAATCACTGTTATTGCGCATTGCAGGTATTCCTAAAATCGTGCAGCCCTAGGTTGTATCACCTCTCACTATTCAACTACAAAACCCTGCAAGTTGAAAGGAGACGGTTTCCAGCTGAACTGAGGTCTAAGCCGAGTCATCCAATGTGGGAAACCATATAGATGCTCAAACAGCAATTATAAATATCAGCGGGGCAAAAAAAGCAAACTTTATTAAACTTCATTCCTTTGGTGTGAGAAGATGTCAGATCGTCTTGGTGTTTATATATAAAATTTAGAAACCGCAGATGAAAAAAATAAATAAAATAAAACTGCTTATTTGAGGTTGGTGAGCGCCTGTGAAGATTAATTACCAACAATACATTGTGGTGCTCTGCAGGGGTCCTCCTGACATGATTTCACTTCAGCCTACAAGAACTGCAAAGTGAAGGGAGTGCGCACACAGACACAGATATGAGTCTGTGCCTGGTGCCACCCACCAGCTTTATACTCCACAGAGAGCTGTTGCCATGGCGCTGCTCTTTACCACACACAGACGTAAGTTCAAAATTCTACTCTCATTTTCCCCTTTTCTGCATGTGGGTGGGGCGGTGGGGGATGGTGGTTGGGGCTAGTTTAGGCTGTGAGGCCATTATTTCACCATGGCTGTTTGCTCATGGCCCATCAGGGACACTTGGTGACTGGAAGGTGAATCAGAGAGAGAATTGACAGACACGTAGACGCTGTATACAAGAACATGGTTTTATTTGTAAATGGAAACATGCCTGGTGCACACATGTGCATGACTACTGTCTAACTTTAAAGTCAGTTGAATGTTTGTAGGTTCAAGGACACTGACTCATTGTGGATTTAGTGAAGTAAAGCCAGGAATGCAATTCAGTCACAAATACGCCGATGCAGATCCACACACCTCACCACCACGACTGCTTGTGCACAAGGTCAGTGTGTGCCCTCGGAAAGAAAGTGACAGCATGACAAACAGGATGAAGGCCTGAGAGAGGGGGAGGTTAGAAGGGGTAAGAAGGGAAACAGGGGGGAGTACGGGGAAGGCCTTTGATGGAAATGTCTACAACGGCCCAAAACAAATGCCATGACTAAGCACTTTGCGGAGAGGAATGGATTTGTGCAACAAGAAAAAAAACTGGTTATGAGTTATGCGGTCGGACACCTTTTGAATGAAACACACCTGTCAGCTGAGAGTTCTGCTCCCTCAGCTTAAGCTAAACTAACTCTGAGCTCTCACTTTTTACAAGCCAACTAAAACAGGACAAGAGTTCTGAATTAAAACTGCACAGAGTTACATTTGAGCATCGGCATCGTAATGTGTGTTTGTGTGTCCAAGATAGTCACGCTGGGGGAAGGAAACAGACTATGATGGGGTGGGTTTTATCACAATACCCTAGGGATAGGGATGGGTACCGAATTCTGTACTTTTTAAGGTACCAACCGAATTCCATAGTACCGACCGAGCACCGATTCACGTCATTTCAAACGGTGCCTCGTTTCGGTACCCGTCCATCCTAACGAGAACTTGCCAAGACAGCTGCGCATGCGCAGGAGCGTTTTGTCGTCGCTTGCTGTGAACCAGTTGTAAACAGAGCAGCATGGTAGAAAGGACGCACGCTAAAGCTTGGGTCCACTTCACTAAATGTGATGGGTAACTGCGTGATGAAACCAGCGACAACTATCTAAGTGAGACATCCTCATCTTAATCTGCTCCGGTAGGTAAATATAATTAGCTTGATATATTAGCTTCCGTTTCGCTAATGGTGCGTTCGCTTTCTCCTCGGAACTCCGAATTTCCGACTAGAACAACATGAACGCGCTCTAAAGTTTGGCTTCACTTTACTAAATGTGACGGGTGAAGACGAAACCAGTGACGATCTAAGTGTGAGTCATCGTTTTAATCTGCTCCAGCAGCTAAATAAACTGTTTAAGATATCGTTAGCTTGATATGTTAGCTTCCATTGCCACCATTGTTATCAGCTAATGGTGCGTTCGCTTTCTCCTCGGAAATTCTAACTTCCCAATAGGAAAAATCAAATGAAAAAGGACGGCAAAAGGAATGAAGATACACAGTAAGTTTAGTTCACAGTAAAGATGTTTGCTTCAGTTTAATTATCAGCTTATAAAACTACAAGGGTGATGTTAAAATACAAACAGTTGTATGTTATTTATCGTGATATTTATCAAATATGGTTATATATTGAGAAAAATATATATTTAATTATAAAAGAGAATTAAAATAATAAACACTAAAAAGTATCGAAAATTGGTACCGTTAAGTACCGGTATCGATTCGTAGGTACCGGGAATTAGTACCGGATCGATTCAAATGTCAAAGGTACCCATCCCTACCTAGGGGTGTACATAGTTAACAGGTTAACTGCTGTTAATGTTGTAACCGGGTAAAATAGTTTTGCCCGGTTAACTGACAGCTGAGCCCACATACTTCTGCTGTGCATGGGTGTAATTATTTTTTTTGCCACCAGAGGGCATGAGAACGCCACTACCAAAACCACAGAAGAAGAGCCCATCGCATGATCAAATATATTTACTTAAAAATTAAGCAGTTAGAAAAATGCACAGCGTGGGAGCATTTTATATTTGGTTTACGGTTACCCGAGTATTAACCATTTAATAGCTTTAATAACCGGTTAAACAAATTTTGTAAAACGTGCAACCCTACAATACATAATCCAAAATGGTGGTACTCCAGCAAAGAGGGTAACCCTTCAGTTAAGATGTAGAACAAAATTTTACAAATCAAGGTTGGTGTGTTAGTAGTTTGAAGCTAATATAAGCATGCCAATGTAAGTTTTGGTAAAAACTTTGTAAGAATGAGACGAATGAGGGAAATTTTGATTGTTGTCATTGGTATATTATGTTGGATTTTCAGCTTAAGACTTGTTGCAATCCAACTATTTTACTGGAGGACATTAATCGGACCCTCTTGGATCAGGGTATATACAGCAATCCTTAAGTAAAATTTACTACTTTTTATTACTTTTTTTTACTACCTTCAGAATTTTTTTAAAACCATCACAACACTAAATTGCAAGTGTTAATCAGCGACCTATTTACACATATTTTAACATATATAACATACAAAAAGAATAGACTTAGAGACTCACTGATGTTGACAACGTATTGCACATATTTATTTTACTTAGAAAATATGCCAGGCACTTCTGTTCAGCGGTTCAGACAGTTGACCACGAGGCCTGAAATGATGCAGAACGACCACTGAATATGACGTCATCATTATGTGACCGGATATGCTAAAGTAGGGCTGCTCGATTATGGCAAAAACAATAATCACGATTATTGTGACTGAAATTGAGATCTCGATTATTTAAGATGATTTTTCAATTTATGTAGATTTTTATTTTTTTATTTTTATTCAGTCATAAAACTGCTCAGGGCACAATCAGGGCAAAAATTAAACAAGAAACAAGATGATCACTAAAATAACTCCTGATTCCCAGTATAAAAAGACCAACATACTTATAGCTCATAGTTTATGACCCAAGGGCTATAGACCTTGGTTTAACTCATTTAAGTCTAACCAGTACAGACCCAAATACCAATATCTTGCAAATACTGACAGCAAGAATTATACAGTGGCATTTATAACAAATAAATGCAAATAAATTGATGTTCACAAAATGTTGCATAGCATTTATTGAGTCGTGTCAAGGTGCTGTAGGAGCGTGCACTAGCACCGTGTCCTCAGAGAGATTAGTCATTATTTATCAACGTGAGGAACTTATTTCTACCTTATTTTTAAACTATTTATTTACAAGTCCATCAGTTAATGTAATAATTGTCCCAACCACAGCTGCACCCCCCACCCCCCAACCCGGTCTCACAGCAATCAGGGGCAAGCTGCACGTGTGTTTAGCACGCCGCACGCGCACATTTAGCCGTTTTTAGCTGCTCAGGAGTCCGCAGGTACGGTGTGTGTCACTCACTCTGGTTACCCCAACAGGGAGCCGGCTCCGAGAGCTTTTTCTTTAGCGACCGACACATCACTACATCATTCCCTTTCCTAATGTCCTGAAGAACGGTCCGGAGCGCAGGCGGAGTGTTTAGCTAACCTGCAGGAAATGTCGACGACAGTTATCCAGAAAGTAGCTAAGGGTTACCAGAGATGTTTCTGAGGTGTTCGCTAGGTACTTTTAAGATTTAAAAAGTCAAGAAGGGGGTCTGAAAAGCTGCTAGAAATAGCGTCAAAGTCGCTAAGTTGGCAACGGAGCGCTTCATTTGTAACTCAGGGCAGCTCAAGTGGGAGGAGCAAATAATCGGCTTGTTTTATTTTTATAATCGTTCAAAACATTTCATTCGGAATATATTTCTATGTCGATGTTCAGAATACGACATCTGATAGTCTGAAAAAAATAATACCTAACTTGGAAAAAATAATACCTCTGAGACCAAATTTAACACTTTTAATGGCCTTAAATTTGACTATTTTTATTTATCACTTTTTAATACTTTTTAAAACCCCGCGGACACCCTGTGGATGCTTCTGATTTAATCTTCGGGGACTGCTTTCCTGCACATTTTAGATGTTTCCAGGCTTCCGCACACTTGACTTAAATTTAAAGACAATTCTGGAGCACTTGACATCCTGAGGATTAGAGATGGATGATTTACCCAAAAATTTACTTATACCAAAATTATGTTGCCCAATGGTTGATCAAGGATTTCTGTGGTAACAGGCTTCTCCTCTACCAAATACACCACCGCCATTGCTCCCTCTGCCAGCCACTGTACAGGTAGTTATCATCCATTTATTATTATCGAGGTGAATGGCTCAATAAATTATGATTTGAGGTCATAACCCCCAGCACTATTCAACTATTTAAATAAAGTATGCTGAAGTAATTTTACACTCACAGCTTCAATTATTTGCATGTAGCTTCAACAAGATTATATCCTATGAAGTGCTAATGTAAACGCTGTTGTTAACCGTGCTGCCTTGTCTCTTTGCTCCTGCAATTGGAAAACACTGCCAAATAATGTTAATATAGACGTGGCTCAAGACCAGCAAACCTAACTGCAGAGCTGAATGGATGTGAAAAGTAAAAAAAATGACTAGGAAAGTGGTAGAAAACAGAGAAATAAAATCACTTAAATTAAATAACTCTTATTAGTACTCTCATTATTCCATGAGTCTATTCTTTAAATAATAATAATAATAATAATAATAATAATAATAAAACTGCTTAAGAAGGTATATATTATAATCTCTATGGTCTAAAAGGCCAAAGAGGACAGAAAGCTGTGATGAACAGTTCACAAGTGTCACGACTTTTAGCTCCGACTGGAAAAATGATACGGCAGCTCATCTCAACAGAAGATATTATACAGGAAAATTCCAATAATCCTGACTCCAGTGGTGGCTAGACCTTCAGCCATATGTCACCCATGTGTCCTGAATCATCACATTCAATTTTTGTCATCTGCAGACAGTAACCTGAAATGTACCTGAGAATAAAACCTGGGCTGAGTTTTCAGAACCAAGCGTTTGGTGGAAATAGGTCAAGAGACGACAAATAAAAAATGTCAGCTTAAAATTCTAAATAAAATGAATTGGTCTGCAGCATTGCCAAGAGGCTAATAAAATGTAGCATTCTGACTGCAAATGTCACATATTCCTTTCTAGGCAGTGAAATGTAGCTGTGCTGTGACAACATGTATTGAATGGCCAATTCTGTTCTGTCAGTGGCTGTGCTGATACAACAGCTTTAGCTATTATGTGTTGGAACAATCAGCAGAAAACCAAAAGCAAATGAAAGTTCATTTGATAGAGTGTTTCTTAACAGCGGGCCTGAAAGCACTTTCAAAGTGGCTCTAAATAAAGCAGATGTCTTTGGTGCTAACTGTAATCTCACTGTGAAGGAGACTAAATAGAATTAGGGAATTGTTTTGTTTTTTTTTTGCGTAGGGGGAATGGGAATCCCCCACTCTACATGTGCAGTGGTCGATAAAATTTGCAGTAATTTAATTCTGGTTGTTCTCGATGTTGTTTCGCATTAATCGACGGACTTAACAAAAAAAGAGCCTAAAGCTAACACTACACATGAAAACACAACGATTTGACAGAAAACCACCCCTAAGGATCCCTTTGAGAGTTGAAAATAATGATTACAAGAATTCAAAATCTTTTTAAAAGCCCTTAAATAATGAAGCCTACCTGACCAATGGTCTTGTTAAGTGTTCATATGAGCGGATTAATCAAAACAAATCACAAAAACAGGTAGGTAGTGGAAAAAGTACCTCCAAGAATTTCAGCAGTGAGTGTGGTTTTAATTTTTACTTTTTCCGTTGCTTCTACCCTCCTCTCCCTTCACCATTCTTTCTTTTTTATTGTTTTTTTTTTATTTTACCCTGCTTCTCTGTCTACCTCCCTCTCTCCCACTGCATAGCTCCAGTGAGCCGGCTCCCTGTCAGGCGGCGCGGCCCAAGGGAGAGTAACCAGCTGAATTATTGAGAGCATAAAAATGCTGCCGCTAATGGATCCTGAATAAACACACAGGCTTAGCTGCTGCCGTGGCATCCTCTGCCGCCACAGGGCATCACGCTGAAAATACTGAGGTTGAGGATGCAGTGACTGGAAGCTACTGCTGCAGCTTTCTTTGTGGCTGAGCCACAACCATAACACACGTGGTCTATTCAGAAGCTGCAACATCAACAGTAGCTTTACCTTTACAAATCCACACTCGGTTACCTTATGGCCCTGGTTTTATTTCATCCCAAAACACCAAAGAGGGAAACCTCCCCGTACCTTTGTGTAATAATTTCAGTGTGGTCCGTGTTTGCCAGATTAGTAAATGGACAAAATATCTGGCAAATCCCATTGCAGCCCTAGTATTAGAAATAAAACATGAACACTTCAGGATAGCGATAGATTATGGGTATTATCAAGAATGTATGTGATAAACTGAAGACAAGATCAGAAATGTGTGTAGGAGTAGGACTTTACTACTTTTGGATCAATCTGTCTTTTTAGAGGAAACCAAAATATCTTCAAATTATTTTGCAGTAATAAACACTTGAATGGCACTGAGAGGAGAAATAAATTAAATTACTCATAAAGGAAACAAGAAAGTGCTGTCTGTCCACATTGATTTTATTTATTTCGACACCGTTTTAATTTAGTGTTTCAGTCTGGTTTTCATGATGCATCATAAACCCTGTTGGAAAGAGTGTGTCTGTCATTCCAGAGCTACTCTGACTCATTTAAATGCTTTGTTCTTTAGCACCCCTGTCTGGCAAACTGGAGCAACTAGAAGTCAAAAGGAAGACGAGAAGACTGAGGAGGAAATGGAAGTTTCTAAATGACCAGTTTAAAAGAAGGCTGGCATAAACACCACACATTTTAAAATTGTAAAGCTGCACCTTTTAAGGAGATTATTAACATTGTTACAAGATAAACGCAGGGTTCTTAAATTTTTCTTTTCCCACTGACAAATTCAAGCACTTTTCAAGGTAATTTTTTTTTACTTTTCAAGCATCATATCAGGTGCCATAAGAGGTAGAGTACCAAAATTTTGCACCAAAAAGGATTTTTCTTGCTGTTTTTTTTCTGTACCCTGCTCTACTACAGTCTTGATTTCATAACTAATTATCACAAAAGGACCCGCTGGATCCCAGACCCAAAGCAGGGCTCTTACACACACGACTAGCATAAAAGCTACATAGTTAAAGTAGGTCTGCTCCATAGCGAAGACAGAGGACACTGCCGGTTCAGCAGTTGGTTTCTATATTGGGAGGAGTCTAATGCTCACGCACCGGTGTTACGGAAAGGAGCTGCCCCACTGAGAGAAGCAGCAACCGCGTTTATTAAAGTTACTGAAATTCAAGCATTTTCAAGCACCCGTATGAACTTTGTAGAATGAATAGCAGTTCAATAGAAAGTAATCAAACTGGATTTTAATATATTGTGAATCTGTTTTTAATGACATGGACTTCCTGAAGTCAAACCACTACATTCTTGTTAAATTTGTCCTGCAAAATTCAAACTGCATGTGTACTGAGTTTATTATTTTAACTGTGTATACATATTAAAAATAAAATTATCCAACCCAACTTCGGAAGCATGAGAAATAGTTCTGCACTTCCAGTGTTTACCTAGGAGAACCATTAGATGTCAAAATGCAGCTACTCGGCTTCAGCTAAGTGTTTCTGGAGACTCAGAGGAATGTTTCAGCATGACCATGCTACATTTCACATCATTGTGACATTCACACCGACATTTAAATATTGAGAGAATGGGGTCCAGCTTGATTTTCTGGTAAAAATCAACATTCGGTCCAAAACTCCAGGCTGACGAGCTTACCTTCTTCTTGTCTCTCATGGAGCTCTTGCCTCGCACCATGATTTTGCATCCTGTCTCTGCTTCCAACTGTTTGGCGGTGAGTCCCCGGGGACCGAGAATTCTTCCCACAAAGTTATACTGCAGACACAGACAGGAAAATAAGCCAATGACTATATTGGAAAATACAAAGCCTGACAGACTTTTTCCTTTGCACTGAGACTGGACCAAAGTCGACAAAGACCCAATAAAATGTGTTTTTATTCATCCTAAACATACACACACAGAAACGTCACAATGATACGGTTTGAACTGAGCTAGCCATAAACTTTGTCTGGTTTTAGACAAATCTTTTGATTTCAGCTAATTTCTGTGTTTCTAAGATGATCCTATCCTGATTTTACCAGTTTGAGTAAAGGTTACAACCGTCTCGAATCAAAGGTAGAATTTAAAATTGGAAGGAATGATTTTAAGGCATTTTTAATTATAATCTAAACATCTTTCACCACCCCAGCTTTTTAATGGTAGGAAAAGACGTTCACCAACATTATTTTCTTCATACAAAAACAAGTTTTTGATTGAACAGTGAATGTGTGAAAGTAATCCAGCGCTGTTTACAACTAAAACTGAAACAGAGGAGCACGAGTACAAAAAAAGACAGATGTGTTATTACCGTGTCTACTGAGTCTAGTGGATGTAAAACCATGAAATACACAAAACTATACAAAAAATAAAAATCCTAAACTGACATGTAAGCATTTGTATTTACAGGTTTTATTTATTCCAAAGCACAACCATTAGTCTTTAAGGTAATTACTAAAAGTGGTGACACCACTGCATCAAATTCTGTTGCTCTCTAATTCCATGGCAGCAAAATCCAAAAGGCCACCAGAGAAGCCACATTTAGTTAGAGAACGATTACACGTTGGTGTACTCCCCTGAAACAATTTAAACAAACAAGAGAGAACAATCAGACCTCGGGGCGGTTTTATTTTTGCCCGTGTCAGCGGGGCTGCTTGCATCCCCAGCTCGTCTCTACTAAGAAAGACTCCCCATGTGGCTGGAAGGACGCTGGCGTCCCTACAGATGATCATAACAAGCAGCTACACAGGCTTGAAGCGTGTTTCTGTCACAAGGCAACTGTCCGTTCGATTAACTCCAATCAGGAGAACTAGTGCGGGGGGTAGGTTCTCGCCAACAGAAGGATGTTAGGTCACCCGTCTTCGGAGGTCAGCCACCAGGGATGGACCTGCTGCTGGCTCGTAGGTAAACACACATAAGCACCACCTCGGGGTGCGCAGAGCTGAGAGCTGTCTGGCTACATCATCGTACCCAAGCAAACCAGGGTGAACCCCTTTGCTGTGAGCTTTCCAATGGTTACACAACTCACACACATCTGCTAACCTGTAAAGCTGAAGCGACAAAAGGAGTTATGGAGCCTATGTTGGTAGCAATTTTTACTACAATAATTTTGCATTTAATATGATTAGGATTTCTACAAGCTTGATAAGTGACAATGTCATCCATACAGATTGGGTTATATGTATTTAACAACCTAGAGGGGATTAAATAACTGTTGATGTCCACTCTGAGGAAACAACTGAACGAAAATCCCCAAAACGTTGCAAAAACCATTCCGTTGTTTTCCTCTTTTATGATTACTGATGATTTTAATTGTATGAATAAGGAAAAAAAATTGGTGATAAATTGTAAATGAGTAGGTGACACAATGGGGGAGAGGTAGAAGGACAAAATAGCAAAAGGAAACATCAGGAAACTCGTCATTAAGAACATCTATAAGTAAAAAGTGCCAACACATTTTCCCTGAGTGGTTTTGAATCACTACAGAAATCTACTCAACTCTCAAACTTATGGAAAGTCAATTTTGCATGGAGACAGCGGCTGAGAGGACTGAGCCTTGACTTCAGGTCACAGGGGGTAGGGCCTTAAAAGTGCTTACTTCAACCTACCAACATTTCAAACAATGTTGATTGTCACATATTATTTTATTTACTTTTAGTTTTTAACGTTAGAAATAAATAAATAAACAAACAAACAAACAAAACTAAAATAAAATAAAATAGACTTTTTCCCCTCCCAGAACTCTTATAGTGGAAACACAGCTACTGTACAAACGAGGGCCAGGTTTATCAGAGGGCCACGGGGCCTGCCAGGTACTTCCCTTAGTAGACGAATAGGAATAGGATAGATGTCTTTCTGCCTGCTGTGGCCGCAGTAAGATTCATATTTATTATAATTATAAGTCAGCATAAAAAATGTCTCGGAATTTGTAGTTTAAAAGTTCTGGCAGTCTTTGTGTTTTTGCATTGCACATTTATAGAGCTGAAACAACTAATCGATTTAATCGATTATCATCGATTATCAAAATAGTTAACAACTTTTTTAGTCATCGATTAGTTGTTTAATAATCATATTTTACCGCATAAAGTCTATTTTTAACACAAACTGACATTGGTTACAAGCTGTTAAATTTGCCGCCAGTGTGTGGCAGTAATGAGCCACTGATCTACCAGTGGAGCCGTAGAAGAAGAAATGAGCCAATGAGTGCCCTCGGTTTTCATGACGTATCACGTTACTGACGCTCATCTTGCTGTGAGAGATGGCGGAACAAGAGGAAATACGGAAGAAAAATAGAAGCGACAAAACTTTAGAGAAACCCCGGACAAAAACCTCACGAGTATGGGAGCACTTCACTCTAGATGCCTTGAAAAGGCAAAATATGCAAAAACCATCTAGCATGGCACGGAAGCACGATGTCCCTAAGTGAACATTTGAGACGAAAACGTGGGGGCTGATGCAGCAGAGGAAGAGCACCGCGGTCATGTGAGCCGTCATTTGGAAGAGCCAGCCCGGTAAGTAACAGAAAATAAACAAGCTGGACTTATTGTTTTAGCTGAGTTTGTTATAGTGGATGTTAAACATGTTTTTTTGCCGCGTCAGTCTACGGTGTTCTACTTCTGATTGACTAGATGCAATCGTGAATCTCCTCCGTGTTGTGAACCATGCGCTTGCCAAATTCAGCACGTCTGTTTATAAGAATGTTCTCGTTAAGAGAAAAACGGCACAAACCCATAACTAATTCCTCATTCAAAAAAGGACAACTCTGCCGTGAAAAATATACAGACGAGCTGTGTCCAGGTGAATATAACGCGGCATAGTTGTACGCTTTCAATTTTTAAATACAGGAGAAATTCAGAAAAAGTCATTTTTTTACTATTAAAAGGCTGTTTTACTATCTAACGCTGTAAAACGCCTCACAACACATTTTTATCATGTTTCTTAAACAGTATTACACAAAATAAACATTTTTCACATTTCTCTAGCTAATTTAAACACTCCCGACTCAAAGTAAAAACCTCATGAGCTTCTTACTTAGAGCTTTTTAATAGTAAAAAAATTAGACTTTTTTTCTGAATATCTCCTGTTGCGGGCTATTTTGTAGAACGTAACCCTCAAAATAAATGATCACTGTATATTGTTAATTAATTCAAATAATATAATATTGATTTAGTGTTGTAGTGTGTGTGCTGCTTTATTTTATATGTGTACTTATTTCAGTCTATTTGTGTTTCTTATGCAGAAAAAAAACAAGCAACGATGGACAACTACATGGGGAACAAGACACTCACCCCCCAGCAATTCATACCACTTACAAACTCAATTCTAAACATGCTGGTAAAAGACATGAGGCCACTATCCATGGTGGAAGGAGCAGGCTTCCAGCTAATGCTAAAAAATTATTATGGACTGATATTTTGCACTGTTTAGCTCATTTTATACTGCTGACTGTGTTCATGTGCAATAAAATAGATTGCAGTCAACTGCACAATTCTCTTATGTTTTTTTTTCTTAACTGAAATGCATCCATCACTTGTATAGGTTAAATAGCTAAACAATAACAAACCGATTAATCGAAAAAATAATCGACAGATTAATCGATTATGAAAATAATCGTTAGTTGCAGCCCTACACATTTATTTCTTCTGTTCGCTGGCAGCCGAGGCTTCGAGTGTCTGGGACCTTTGGTGGCAAAATGTTCTTCACTCTTCCATTTCAGTCTCATTTCATCTGTTTTCCCAAAGTTTTTCACACAAGAATACAGTGTTTTCAAACATAATTTATGTGCCAACTCAAAATGTTACACTCACACACACACACACTCACACACTCACACTCACACTCACACACACACACACACACACACACACACACACACACACACACACACACACACACACACACACACACACACACACACACACACACACACACAAGCATGCAAACAAAGACCCCTTCAGGACAAAGGCTTGCACTGACATTAAAGGGTCTTTGTTTAACCACAGTTATCGCTACTCCACAGGCGGGTTGTGAGCATCTATGTCTCTGCTACTGTGTGTTTGTGAGGGTATGTGTATATTAAACACAAAGTATGGACTGAACTCTTGTAGACACCCGTGGCACCCGAAGCAGATTCTTGTGAGTTTTGAGAGCACGAAAATCTGTTTTGTGTGTGTGAACGGCAGAGACGACAACAGTTCCACCAACAATGCTCACAGAAGCAGAACAATTGTGCCTTTGACAACCTTTGTTTGTGGTGGTGGGGAGACAGGAAATGAGATCATCCTGAGGGCTCTGGCTGTGTGCGCCCAAGGATTATCAAAGAGCGGGCCAAGATTGGGAGGAGAATACCAATCACGTATTAGCTGTCTGGGCTTATGAAAATAAGACATTTTTCATTCAGTACGATGCATCAAAGACTTTTGGAACCTGGCTATACCCGTTACCATCATCTTGCTCCCAGTCACCACTTCTCCCAGTCTTCCCAGGTAAATTGGAAGATACTAACCCTTTAGAACAGAACACCTTTTCCTAAACGAATGTGAATTTTCATTTTACTAATAGCTTAAAAAAGTTAGCATTCATTAAAGTGTAATTCTACACTCTTTCCACACGTTCTCATTTCTGTATTCGTTCATTACTCCTAGATGCTGAGCCGACTTTCCTTTTCTCAATGGCTGGCTCTTGTCTTGGAATGGATGTCATGGGGCTTGTGTGATGAGGGAAGGAACATTAGGATTCCAGAAGTGACATTTCTACATCAAAGCCTTGTGGACTTTAAA